GAGAGAGAGAGAGATTTCGTCGATTTAGGGCGATCGATCTCTCGGGCCAAAATTATTGCAAAAGGAGATCGCTCGATATCGTTCATTACCGAGTACGCTCGGTCGAGTATAATGCTTATTCCTCTTTGCAATTGTAGTTTTTGAGTACATCCGCTCTCCGCCGGCTTAATGCCCGGAACCCCGTACTTTCACGAATATTAACGAGATCTTTCCAATCGCGGATCATTTCATGGGTTAAATCATATAATTATTCGACGCATCCGGACAATAACAAGTGAATTATCTCTATTGTAAGCTGCTTTGATATTTATTGAACAGGGCGTGGATTTTTTTGTTAATTTAAAATAATGTAAAAGAAAGTAACGATAAAACTTTTATAGAAAATATTTCAAAAATATTTTTTCTCGTAATATATTTATGGCTTAAAGAAAGGCTCCTCAGAGAGCTTGGAGACCGTTAGACGAGTATTCCGACGTGTACAAACCTTGATACATTCCATACGCCAATCAGTGACTCGGGATAATACCGATTACCTGCGGAACGATGCTCCGTTTCGATAAACTCAGGTTTGCTTCGTTTTATGTTTGCCTACGAGCGCCGAGAGAGAACCTTCCTTTTTCACCTACTTGCTTCAGTAGACGATATCGTTGCGGTAATACCACATAGTGCTCGCGTGCGTAACGCGATCGGCAATGTGTTATTTAATAAATGAAATTCGATTTCGCCGTACAAATCGTATTATGGGCACTCTTATTTCACGAACAGGTATTTTTACTGCCGCATCTTTCGATGGAAAATACGACGGGGAGAAACTCATGCGAATTAAGATATTCGTTTCCTCTCGACCAACTTCCAAGCGACCATATCGCGCTTGTAAATAACGATTACTAGCTCGTATTGCTTGTCAAGCCGTAGCGAGATCTTAACTAATCCTCATAAATCGTTCTAATTAATCCCCATAAATCGAGCAAACGTTCAGTCTTATCACGCTTGTCGCATGCCACGTTAAACATTTAAAATTAATAAAGATTAAATCTTTGCGAAAAAACATTTTACTAATTACAAGAAAAAATATACGATAAGATATATGTATAATAAAAAATTTCATATCTGCTTTATATTTTTGCAACGAGAATATATTCATATATTATTAATAGAACTTGCAAATTTTCTAAATATTTTATCGATATTGATTTACGTTAAAACTCGTAGATATTTAAAAGGAAAGCTAATAAATTATTAATTTACGCTTTCTTCTTAGAACATTCCGCCTTTTTTTAATGCGCAAATGTCGTCTAGTCTTTTTAATTTTTTTATAGTTCCCGGAAAGCGAAGCGACTAATACAATAAATCATTGCATCATTGTTTCCTGATTCGCGATCGAGTTAAGCGAGTATCGTCGGCGCCGACGATAAAAATGTAAAAAGTACAACGGCGTTTTAACAGTTTAATGAAGAAAGTGCAATTTACGTTTTACATATGCAGGTTTGTGTGGACTCCAAGCTTGGATAAGTTCTTACGTGTCGTTGCAAGATTAATCCTGCTTCCTCGATATATAAAAATAATACTCGCCTAAGACATTTGTGGAAATACGACATAACAAATATCGAACAATAAGCGGAAATCCTTCAGATATATAAATGATCTTATCATCGAACGAGAAGAGATGCGAATTCTTCAAATTATTAATGAATTATTTGAGCAAAAAGAAATGACGGCGTGAAATACGAAACCCGGACTATATAAGGAACTGTGTATCTGTGTATTTTTTTTTTTTAATGCAAACTTAATATATCGTGACAACATCGAAGACAGTGGGCTGTCGAAGCAAAAGATATCGAGATCGAGCGACACAATCAAGACAACTTGTATCTCGTATATAAAGCTTGCTGTTCAAGGGAAATAGCATCTCCAACCTCTCATGTCACGGTCATGAACAGCTCGACTCCTCTCCGCGCGAGCAGCGACACATCCCCGAGTCCTCTGCAATCGTCCGTTTGTCAAGATGAGGTCACCCCGTCTACCTCGAGAGGGAGAGGCATCGGTTCCGTTATCGGTCGCGACTCCGAATCGACTTTCCACTATCTCGCGTTGGACGTTTCGTACGCCGGTCTCGGCGTGACCGACAGCGACTTCGTCGACTCCGGTAGCAAAGGGACGGTACTGAACCTCTCGTTGCAAGAGGATGCGTCCGATCTGCCGCAGTTCTGGGAGGACATCGGGGTGGTCGAGTATCTCGAGAGGAGACTCGGCCCGCCCGACGAGAGCACGCCGGAGGAACGCGTCGCGACGCTCCGGGAGGTCCTCGCCGAGAGGACGGACATCCACGAGGGCGACGGTAATCTCTCGGATTTCCTCTTCCACGTGGCGCGAACGAAGCACGGCAAAATCTACATAAGGGTTATCCGGACTCTGCTAATGAACAGAGGTAAACGCTAGTTTTAAGTGCGTACCAATTTCATCGATTCTTAACGCTTGTCGTACGTCACGATCTTGTATATAAAAATTCTAATTGTCTTACTCTTTTATATAAAAATCAT